AACTCAGCAAGGATGGGAAAAATGCAACTACTTACATGTGATTTATTAAAAGATGCTAAAGACTAAAATCAAGTACTTCACAGAAATAATCAACCATTGACAACTACATACTAAAGCAAAATACCATCGAAGACCTTAAAGCCTAAAAAAAAATCAAGTATTTCACAGCTACAATCAACCATTGACAACTACATACTAAAGCAAAATACCATCGAAGACTTTACCTCCAATACAACAACGCCAAGAGCAACCCACTTGATAATTTTCCAGTGGTTCTCCAGAAACGCATACATCATATCAAAATTTCCAGTTTTGTCAGTAGGAATTTCCTGAAGAGCATATTTAAATGTAATCAGATTGACTAAAAATTTCCAAACTGAAGGTATAAAAATAACAGATGTAGTAAGAATCACCGCTCTCCAGTTTTTGTCAAAGAACATAAAAGCAGCTAATCCCAGTTCAATCAAGATCAACAAGATTAGCAATACTGCATACTTTATTAACTTAAGGAACCCAATCACACCTATGAATATGAAGAGAAGAAGATAAGAGATACATCCATCCACCACAATCCACATTTTTCACAATCCTGAAGGGTTTACCTACCACAGAAAAATGATTGGTACAAACAGATAATATGAAGTAAATATCTTCAATAATGGATAAAAACCGTATTTTGTCAAAAAGTTGTTATCTTAAGTAAAGGGGAAAATGGAATCCCCCAAAATTGTATTGGATATCAGTGAGCTAGATGAGAAAGTTTGTTGTAGGCCTAAAAAGACACATTTGTTCAAAAAGGCGCTAACAATTTGGATTTACATTTTATTTGTTTGACCATCACAGCTTTTAACCAACTAAAAAAAGCTTCAGAATGACGGCAAAGAACCACATTAATTAAGATGTTATCATCATTAGCCTAGTAAGATAATAGCATAAGTATTCAATCAAAGGGATAATAGAAATTTGTACAAAATCATGGCAAATTTTCAGTCATCAGAAATAAAGGATACACAAGTCAGGCAACATCCATTTCGTGCAGCTGTTCCAATGCACCCACAACAGGAAATGATGAAAAGTATTACACCAATGCCGATAAAAGAATATATGAACCTGCATGTAGAAAAGGAGATCAGTAAACATTCAGCATTCCGTGGGTAAAAGATTATCTTGAAAGATGTACTTTTCTGGTAAATAAGTAAAGACGGATACAGCTCCTAGACAATAGATAAAATGAATTAGCCAAGAAATCAAACGAAAAATGGCTTAATTTATTTATCAACTAGTGCATCGCCAGACATCATACTGTATCTCTCACCATCATTTGTGTAGGAAACCTGTCTTGCTCAAAATACCATATTTTCATCAGAACAGGAGGCTCACAGAATTACACATCATCAACATTTTCACACGTTACTCTTCTTCTTCTTCCAGGAAAGACCATACCAACCACCACCCAAAAAGAAAGAAGAAAAATCACAAATGTGCAAGGACTCCACAGACCAGAGAACAAGTACTTGTAGAAAATGGATAAAGTTTAAGGTTTGTTTCCAGTATTATATGTATATAATAGAATGAAAGTTCCTCTTGGTTATTAATAACCGTATCAAGACACATCCACCCGTTTTAGTAATAGTGAGTGATTGGTTAATTGCTGCTTTACTGAGAGATCCTGCCACGCAATTGTAGATTTTTTTAA